CCATGTTGTCATGATCGGTGTTTCTGTGTTGAGTGTCTGTTTCTGCGTTTTCCCCGTTGATTGCTTCCCAGGTGTGTCTCATTCCTTCATTACCCTCCCTGTGTATTTACTCCCACCTGTTGTCTTTGTCTCGTCGGATCCTCGTCGTATCATTCGTCTGCTTGCCACCACAGTCGAACTGTAAAGTCCTGTGTTGGTTCAGCTCTTGTTTTGAGTCCACGGTCTTTCAGTTGCTACCGGTAATTAGCTGTGTGCTAATATTTCTGCCTGATCTGGACTGTTTTGAGCATCTTCATTATATTCATCATCATCTTCATCACAACCTGGGTCTCTGCGTCTCTCCTCACCACCTCTCAACCACACCGTCCTTGACAAATGTAAGCAAAGATAAAAAAATATATAAATATTATCTGTACTTTCCTTTAGATATTATTCCTGATGCAGAAACAAATAAAAAACCCTAGATTACGGGAAAATATCTGAGGTGAATATCATTTACAATCCAAGCTTTACTCTGATATGGAAAAAAAAAAAAAAGATAGGGAAGGAGCTGGCATTTTTCAAGTACAATGAAATGGCATCATCAGGAATGAGAAGTGATGGAGAGCAAAGTGTATCAGTGGGAGTGTGTTAATCCTCGGGATACAGGGAGTAATCTGTTGACCTCTCAGCTCGTACAAAGCACACATTTCCTTTAGAAAAAAAAAAAAAAACATCTCCAGCCCAAACATGTTTAACCATCAAAGCACAAACTGAAACAACATCATCGACTCCGAACCTAAAGCTGACCTTAATCCAGTGTGTGAGGAGTCAGCTACTTTCTCCTGGTCTTTATCGCCATCTCTCACACACACACACACACACACACACACACACACGAACACACCGGGTGGCAGTAGCCTGTGGGTGTGCAAGCAGCTGTGAATAATTGTGTTTACAGATGGTATATGTGCGACCTGTGGGTTCAACGACACTTCTCAACCCCTCGAAGAAAGACAGAAGACAGCTGTGACATTTAAAGTGAACGTCTCTCTTTCCCTTCCCTCCATCCCTTTCCTTCTCCTCTTCCTCCTTTTATTCCTCCGCCCGCTTCAACTTCGTCACCTCACTTAGTTTAATTGGCATAAGTGTTAACGAGGCGTTCCGAGCCAAAGCGGAACAATAAACAGCAACATAAGTAAGAAAAGATTGGCGAATTGCTGCTTCAAAGTTTAATTTGGTTCCATGATGTAGGTAAATTGGCTGTTTTATTTATACTTCAGGGAATGTCGCTTTAGACACTAAAAGCCACCTGCTAGTGTGCATCATTATCTAAATGTAAAGTTACCATGCAGAACATACAAGTAGCTCTTATTCCTGTCTTGTTTTGATTCATCCTCTTGCAATTCGCTGATTATTGGGATAAATTATGGCTTTTACACTCAAGATGTTCTGTGCTTTAAAGATTTAAATGAGGCTCATCGAATATGCGGCGGAGATGGAGGACTGTGGATGGATCAGTCATAACCATCTCTGAATGGTTTCATATTTGTGCAGCAGTTGCAGAAAAAATCTGGTCAAAAAGATTCAATACAATCTCTCTTCAAAAACCACAGAGCAGAAAGGATTTTTTTTAAGCACACACTTAATTTGTTTTTACTGATCTTGATTGATTTGCAGATAATATCCAACAGTCATATTTAACTGCCTCCCTACGTACCGCATGGCTGGCTCATAAAGCAAGAGTGAGATAAAGGAATTCAGATTCAAGGCATGCAGAGAAACATCGTAATTTCCCGTTAGCTGATATGCAAAAGCGTGAGACAGCTGAACGCTCACATAAATGCTATATCTGTCAATCAGTCAAAATCTATCTGTAAAACAAAAAAGTAGCTTACACCACTTAAAAGGTTAATAACAGACAATCTCACTTTAGCTACGATGTGATCAAAATAAGTCCCGTGTTGATGCTGTTTTTAAATTGAAATAACAGGAATGAATATGATTTTTTTTTTATAACTGCCTACAATCCTTTTCCTCTTTTTTCTCAGTAATAGTTCTGTCTTGAAAACAAAACACTGTGTCTCAATGTCAGCATAAATAAGAAAGAAAAAAAAAAAAAATAAAATAAATCAAAACTGAATATTGCTTTCAGCTGAAGTGAAGGAGCAACACGAGCTTGGGATGAACCTAAAATGTTCTGGCTAAACTAGATCAGGAAAACATTTTCAGTCTAAAACTCTATATGTTTCACCTTTCTTTCTTCAGTTTGTACAGTTACAATGTCAGAGTTACTTTCTAAAGATCTGATCAATTAATTAAATCCTCAATTCACTCAAAGTAACTTCTATATTTGCTTCGTATTATTATTGCCTATTCACCTTCACTTCTTCTTTCAGTTCAGATAAACCAATTATCTCATGAAGTCAGAAAAAAATTGCTTCAAAAATTTTCTTTTTTTTTTTTTTTTTTTTTTTTTTTTTCCATTTTCCTGCTATCTATTTATTCATTCAGTTAATCATAAGGAAGTCCATGTTAAAGTTTATCCTCAATGGCAAAGACAAGTTGGCCATTTTATTAGGTACACCTGCGTGAATGAATGTGGTGCGAAGCTCTTTGGGGTCCTCTGGACTTGATAAAGTGCTCTGCAAATAGAATCCATTTACCATTTACACCTGCTGAACTGATGGTTACACAAATGCTGAATTAAGGAATCACTTAGCGGCAGCTCAGTTCAGTGAGGCATCTAGATGGGGGTGAAGACAAACTGCTGAAGTCCAGTCCAAGCATCAGAAGGAAAGGGATCAAAAGTGGCCTTGAATGTGGCGTGCACAAGATAGGCTGGTCTAAGTATTTCAAACTGTGCTGATCTGCTGGGATTTCATGGATAACCATCCTTCTGGTTTCTTAAGAATGGTCTGAACAAGAGAAAATATCAGGGACAAGCAGTTGTGTGGACAAAAATGCTTTACTGCGGACGTAGAAGAAAGGGCAGGCTGGCTGAAGACTAGATGGAGTCAAGCGGTAGATAAATAATCTCTTCTTGCAACCAAAGTGTACAGAATGCCATCTATAAACAGAACACACATCAAATCTGGAAGGACAGGGGATTCAGCGCCAGAGGACCACAATGGGTGCCACTCTTATTAGCTAAGGACAGATGTTTTAGCTTACACAAGGTCATCTAAACTAGATAAAGCAGTTTGAAAACAATCCTGCCTGGTTCAATGAGTCTTGATTTGAGCTATGACATTTAGATAATGTATTTCGAACTAAGCACCCAAGGATCTAACATCTTATTACCTACAATTTTATATGAAACTCAAGCATTTAGGTGCATTATTGTGGTACAAAGGTAGAGGAGATGTTTTCTCAGCTTTGGGCCCTGTAGTATCAATTTGCATTTTTTTAAACACCAGAGTGTGGCAGAGTATTTGGAAAGACTTTGTACATCCTTTTAAGACCATATTGCAAACATCATATTATGCCTATTTTGAGCAAGCTAATACATAAAGCTCAGATCATCTCAAAATGTTTATTTTTAATATGATAATGAGTTCCATGTACTACATTGTCCTCAGCAGTCACCACATCTCAAACCAATAGAGCACCATTGGGATGTGGTGAAACTGAAGATTTGCATCATAGACTTTAAACAGTCAAATCTGTATGAACTATGTCTTGCTAGCATGTCAATATGGATCAGAATTCATATTAGGAGTGTAGGTATGTCTTAAATACATTGTTAAATCAATGCAATTTAAAAAAAAGGAGTTCTGAAAGAGAAAGTTTGTCCAAATCAGCAAGTGTACCAAATAAAGTGGTCAGAGAGCTCACATTAAAAAGAAATTATCCAAAGCAAACGAGACTAATTTGACAAAAAAAAAAAAAAAAAAAAAAAAGGGGACAAAAAAAAAGAAATTGTGTTTGAGGGCCAAACATTTAGCTGTACTAAATTATCAAGTTCATTGCTAGATAAAGAAGTTAAATTTTGAATTAACACAGGGTGGAATTGAGTGCTAGAACTGATACAAAAGTTTTGTGGGATACAAAATATGGTTTCTCACCTAAACCATTTTCTGCCAATGCCCATGATTTGTCATTTGTAGTAATCTAATTCATACCCTTACAAAGGGAGACACTCGTAAATTGGAACATTTCTTGTTGCATGTACCTGTTAAATACAGTCATGTAAAAAGATAAATAAATAAATAAAAAAACACATGGGGAATGATGAAATCAGGTGCAAATCCCTAGTTGCTTTGTTCTTTTTGCATCAAAACAATGAAATCAAAAAGTCACCTAATAAGAGTAGTGAACCACAAATCAGTTCACACTTTGTTTCAATAACAAAAAGAAAGAAAAAACAAATTTAAGAGTGTAGCATCAATTCTCCCGTTCTCAGTTTTATTGCTTCTGTCATCTGCTTTAAAAGCTAAAACGCTTCAGTCAGGTTTGCACCTGTGGGGATGCTAGCATCATAGCACCTCTAAATGTGTCAGGAAACTGGATAAGACTGATTTCTCCCCAACCTGTTGGCAGTTTAAACACATTCCAACGTGTTTTCCTGTAACAGACTATGGCAGGCTCAGGAAGTGCTAACCAGTAAAGTCCAGGAGCCATGAGTGCTGCGTATGCGCGTTTCCTGTTAGCCACCCTCTGTGCCTCGGTAAGTGGAGCTGATGGAGGGTTGAACTAAGTATGATTTACATAATTGGGATGTTAATTTGTTAAGCTGTGGGAGTTGATTATGTTGCATATTGATTGTGTTGTGCTGCTGTGAGGTCGCACACCTCTTTAACGAAGGTATACAGTGTGCAGAGCAGGGAATTGTGGGAATTTGATTACATGTACAGTGTTAGTTTTCCTGCTGACAAGGTGAGTGTGTGATGAAAAGTGTGTAAACGCACGCCCGTGTGTTTCTAAATCTGTGTATGTGTGTCTGCTCCCCTCAGGGTTGATGAATGAATGAAGGAGGTGAGAAGAGGAAAAGAGGGAGGGGAAACTCCACCTGGTCTTACCGTTCTCCGGGTGTTCCATCTCGCCGATGCTGCCGTCAGGTGTGGTCCTCTCGTAGTGGTCTTCTGGCAGAGCTAGTGGTCCGATCCGGGGGCCCGATGACGACTTGGAGCTGGGGGTCTCCGACTCCTCCAGGCCACTGTCGTAGTAGCTGTGCTGGGACGCATCCTGCAGATCCTGGGCCTGATTGGAGGTGGAGAAGGTTACTCGGCGGTGGGGCAGCTGAAATAAGCAGAAAACAAGAGGCATCAGTGTATTATGTGCTTTTTCACTAAGGCATGCTGTTTTTTATTCAACAAGTTCAGTTTGATTCGAGTTTAGTTTGGGTCTGTGGCTTGAAGCAGTTACATTTCATGCCAATGCCTCCCGCTCGTGTCAAAATGGGAGTTGCTAATGGACAGATGGGTGATTGATTGTTTTATTCCGTCCAGTGTTTTGATTTACAGACCAGTCTGCTAGACACATTGACCTCAACAGCAGATGCTCTACAGCCAGTAAAATTGATCACTTTAAAAGAACAATTGATAGCGTCTGAAACAATGCCAGCTTATGCTGTGCTTCGTCCAATACACCCCAGTCATTCAGAAGTAGGAAGTTTGCTTAAATTGAACTCAAACCAAATGGCTACTATCTTTTGAAGTCCTGAAGTGGACATAAAATACAAATCTCTCTCTCTCTCTCTCTCTCTCTCTCTCTCTCTCTCTCTCTCTCCTTCTCTCTCTCTCTCTCTCCCTCTCTCTCTCTCTCTCTCTCTCCCTCTCTCTCTCTCTCTTGATAGATAGATAGATAGATAGATAGATAGATAGATAGATAGATAGATAGATAGATAGATAGATAGATAGATAGATAGATAGATATGTATATAGTTGTAATAGTTGTATGATGGAGGTTGTATGGATGAAAATATTTTCCGGCTTGAGATAATACACAGACAACAGTAATCTCTCGTTACAACCAAATTATGCAGAGTACCATCTCGAAATATACAGGATGCAACAATCTCAGACTAGTTTCTTGAACATGACAATGACTTTACTGCAACATGAGTGGCCTTTATGGTCACAATTTTAATTACTTTATCATCTTAATATGGAACAAGAGCTCTTAAAAATCTAAAATTGTACTGTCTACAACAATGTGGAAACAAGCACGTAAATTAATCTTGCACAGAGTTCACCACTAGGAACTATAATTGAATGTCCTTTGAGATCTCAGACATCATGAGAAACGTTTATGCCTCAGAGATTGATTAATCCCCTTGGACTCATCAGTTACTCAAAAAAGCAATCTCAACAGAGTCAACTTCTGTGTTGTAAAACGCAACAAAACATTGTTCTAGCTAGTGAAATGTCCCAAAATCGCTATCTTTATCCTTTGTTCTGACATTTGAACTTAAATTTCCAACTGTAGTCAGTAAATTTAAGTTTGTATTGCTAGGATTGCTTAAGACATTTTTTGCTCTAAAACGACAAAACGTTACAGCCACCATTGGAGGCCACAATGTCCCCAAAGCCGGTCACTGATCTGAATGGCTCTGGTGACTGTCAGGTTGGTATGAATGAGAAGAATCACATCTTTTTCAAAATCACCCACCCAGTGGAACAGCTACTAGCTGCAAAAGCCTACAGACTGGTAACCCACTCACTGATAAGTCAGCCAATACTCACATCCTTGCGCCAATATCATCTGTTTACCAAGAAAGGTCTAAATAAAGCCTGACCAAAAATGTTTAGGAGCAGGTTTATTTCACCATATAAACCAGAGCAGTCATAGATGCCAAAGTCAATACAACAGCTAATGTCCCTTTTAACTGATAGGCTGCTTTACTTCTTTCACCTAATTTTACATATTACACAAGTAAAAATCAGTAGCTTCCTACTTTATCAGTAGCATGCAAACAACTGGTAAAACATGAGTTATTTTTGCAAAAGAATATTGATTTTCATACCAAACAGCTGAGTTTGGAGTTTAGCGTGTCTTTGTTGTAAAATGCAGCATAGCCCTCCCTAACAGGTTCATTGCCACAGATTTGAATACGTTTTCAGAAAAAATTTTCCTAATGAATTCTGAAATCAAGTAATTGGCCCGATAATTAGTGGGGCAGCTGAATAAGTCACCTGAGGTAATATTGTACCTGTATTGAGTCTGAAAAATCAAAAAGATTTGTTGGCAACAAATTATTGTTAGAATCAATTCTTTGTTAGCCAAGGCTAGAGCCTGTTCACTGAAATAGGTGAACAAATACAAAAATATTAGTCTGACAATTATTATATATAAACATCAGCGTTAGCACACTAATGCTAGCCTTAGCATTACCTTTTCTTGGTTCACTGAAGGTCTTTCTACACTTCACAGCAGGATCAGAAAAAAATGTGTTTTCTCTCCCAGTTTTGCCAGAACAAACTAAACTCTATGTTCCTGAAGGTTATTCACACATATTGTGATCAGAATGTTTGTCTTACATGCTGTTGCAAACAATGAAGTGGTTTTGCACCAGTAAGAAAGACATAAGAAGTCTTCCTGGAAGTTTGCACTTTAGTTCTTGTGAAGAAAGAATTTTCTTCTTCTTCTTCTTGCAGCCTTGGGCAAAATAAAATAAAATAACAATGTCTTTGTACTTGCTATTGTATCGGCCTTTTGGTTGAAACACATCATGCTCTATTTTCATATATATACAGTGCATCCAGAAAGTATTTACAGTACTTCAGCTTTCCCACATGTCAAAGTCTTTTCCAAACTGTATTAAAATAATCGCTCCTCTCAAAATTCTACATGCACATACCCCCCATTATGACAATGCAAAAAAGAAAAAAAACATTGGAGTGTTGATTATTTTTTTTCTATAGATAATTTCTTCCCAAAGACACCAAACAAGTCCATCAGTCAGATCATTCTGTCAGCTTTTAGTCTTTTCAGAAATTGAACTGTTGGTGTATATGCCCACCAGTTTAATGTAAAAATATTTAATCTAAAGGGAAAGTGACTAAAATGCAGATTCAGAACAACAACAAAAGGGTAAAATGTGCTAACTTTAAGTCCTCCTAAATGTAGAACATGCAGTGAGCTATAACAATACAAACACAATATATTTATACTTAATCAGAGAAATGTTCAACACAAGTGGCCCCCTGGTGAGTTTAAAGCACTAACTGCAAGTTGCCCTATTATTCCCCTGTTATTTATAACATTTCACTCTCATATACAAATGAGAAGTGATAACATGGTCCGTAGCTACAAAAGTATTTAATCTAAACTATAGTGTAAAAGAATATCCAGTGTGTGTTTTAGTCATTTGAGTGACTGTTCATGGTCAAACACACACTTTCTTTCATTTCTTGTGTGTCTTTCTGGGGGTGGAAGTTAACTGTTTGACTTCTGCCTTTGATGGTTTTGTAATTAAAACACAATTAGCCTCCCTGTAGCGCCGCGGGGATGCTCGACACCATTCACACTTACACAAGCACACTTTGTGCAAAGACAAAAAGAGCTGCCAAGAAAAGTGTCCTAATTCAAAGGCACACAATACACGGTCAAACACTTCAGATGTGCACAAACACAATGGACGGGCCAGCGCTACTGAAGAGCAACATCACCGGGTCGATCACTATGGCAACTGGGTGGCGTCAGAACCAGAAAAAACAGCAAGTCAACTCCCAGAGTGTAAACACACAACCTCTCAGCTTCATCTATGCATTTTATTAATCTGTCTGCGTCTCAATAAAGCCACTTTCAATAAGTTATACAAGTATAGAAGGTGATCAGCCTCTGCATTCTGAATTTCAACCACCACATTTATGCATTTATGCATGCATAAATGCATAAATGTGGTATGTGATAACATACACTGTATCGCACTGTTCATATATTTATATATACATCATTTCCCAGATGGGATCAATAGAGTTTCTGTCTGTCTATAAGTCATGCTTCTTTTTTGTTGTTTTTTTTAACATGGAAGCAGTAGCTTCTAGGACTCAGGGTCTCCTGATGCTTTATCACCTGCATTCCAAAACAGTTTGAGCATTTCAGCTGAACCTGGAAGGATTTAAAAATACCTGGTCCGTCTCAGTGTGCAGCTGAAAACTGCAATATTAGTGTCAAAGTGATGGAAAATGTGCAAAACTAAAACCACAATGGAGCTCCCCCTTAACCTATGCAGACACATTGTACTGCCAAGGCATCAAAGGCCCAGATCCCTGATGCTTCAGGCGACAGGCGTCTTCTGCAGGTGAACAGGTTCAAACACTCAGATATAACTGGACTCTGAGCACTCTCACTTCCTGTCTTCCCTCCCCGAAGAATGTGGAAGAGCTCAGAAAGGTCAGTTTGTATTTCTGTACTGGCACAGAACCAGATGTGTTACGTAAAGGAGGGGGTTTGTTCCACTTTTTCTACCAACTTTGTGAGGCAGGAAAGAGTTACGAGGCGTGATTTAGTTCTGGATTTCCCATTGTTGAACTGCGTTTGCTTCAGCAGATCTAACTCCTCATAATAATTAATGAAGCATAACCGATAATTGAACTTTTTTGCCTGAGCTAACAGTCAATTTTTCTGATCAAAATATTTTGTTGTCTATATAATTCAAAGACTGCCACTAGAAGATTCCACTAGAGGGCAGTCCAGCAAACATATAGTAATATGGAGAATAAATTGTCTCTGTTACATGTTTTATTTTTTTTTTTTTTTTTCAAAAAGTCATGTCAAACCATTGTTTTTGTTTTTGTTGTTGTTTTTCCATTTCATTTAGATATCCAACACTGGCTTGCACACTTCCTCTAAGAATGACTTTGTAGTTGCATATCACCAGATTTGATCCAGGGCATATGAACAGATGCTTTAGAAATGTTTCCCTAAATCAAGTGTCCACCCTTCTGTTCTTATCCAAAGTCTTAAGTAACGTCTGGAGAAAGCTTATTTCCATGACTCCCTCTTTTGGTCCACACCACAGCTTATGACCACAGGACTGAGTTGGAAATAGATTAATTGGTGAACTGAAAACGTCATGTAATCCACTGTTATGGCTGCAATCTTCCTCTCCTATTATATACCAACTTTCTACCAGCATTTCAATTCTTTCACTCGTGACAGAAACTCGGCCCTAACAAGAAGCTGTATCTAAGTATTTTCTCTTCAAACTTGGAGCAGCCAACTGTCATTCTTCATACTCTAGGGCAATATCATCTGCAAAAGGTAGCATGCAAGTAGCGCATCAAGTTTGAGGA